GTCCAAAGTAAGAAGACGCAACATGCTTTATGAGCTTATATTCTAATAATAAATTCATAGCGCAGTTTCCGAAAGTTCTATTCCATCTACGCCAATGGCATTCTTGTTACTTCATGTATCTTCTCGCTGGAACAAGATTGGTTAGTCATTCATGATGAGTCATTTTGCTCTTTTTTTTTTGTAACACATTTATTCTGTGCTTGTTTTTGTTTTGTGTGTTTTTTTTATTTGTTTGTTTGGTTGGTTGGTTGTTGTTGTTGTTTTGTTGGGGTGTTTGTTGTTGTTGTTGTTTTGTTTTGTTTTGGGGGGGGGGAGGTCAGTTTCTTGTTTCTTTCGATAGTTTTGTTTTTGTTTGTTTGTTTTGGGGTTGTTGTTTTTTTGTGTTTTTTTTTAGGGGGGGGGAGTATTTATCATAATGATAATTTGTTGTATATGGATTGACAAGTATGTGTAGGTGCGCGCGCGGGGGGAGGGGTACCGTAGGTGTGTATTACATAATTCGTCAGGAAAAGCCCAAGTTTATAAAATACCGGTAGTAAAAGTAGATCAGACCGATGCTTTTCAGGGAGCAATGAATCCTCCAAACCTTATGCAAATTTAAATACATCTCTCTCTCTCTCTCTCTCTCTCTCTCTCTCTCTCTCTCTCTCTCTAGAGAGAGAGAGAGAGAGAGAGAGAGAGAGAGAGAGAGAAAAGAGAGAGAGAGAAAGAACACTCAATTGTATGCATCAGGTCTAGAATTATAGGACTAGATCTAGTTATTCAAGTAGGCTAATCTTGGTCCGTGGGCTCTGCAAACAAATACAAATTCTGCTGTAATCCCGAGCGATCCACACTGAGTGGGCGTGTGACTGAGAGTGACGCCTGTATAGACCAGCAAACTGGGTGATACGGTTCATTGCAGCTGTTAACGAGCGGGGGAAAGACGGGGGAGGGGGGGGGGCATGGTGAGGGTCCATGAGAGGTAGTATTGTACATTGTAGTATGTTGCATGTTTACAAGCGCCTAGGCCTTTGATGTAATACGCCCTTTTGTGAACTCAACAACTTGTTTTCGCCCGGTTGAATCTCAGAACACACATAACACACATCCTTGTTCTCTCAGTCACTACTTCAGTAGGCAAGCGATACCCTTGACTTTTCCCTACTTCCCCACTTCCGTTCGTCCCTCGTCTCATCTCATCTCATCTCTCTCTCTCTCTCTCTCTCTCTCTCTCTCTCT